CCTGAAACCCTGCGATTCTTCCTTTGGCATCGAGATTATACAAATAAATTTAATTCGTTGTCTCGGGAAGACCAAGATCTTTCACCCCCTTGGGAACTTAATGTTCCGGATACCCTTGAGAAAGCACATACACATATATCTCATGCATCCACCAGCACATCTGGTCGGAAGCACTCATCTTTTCTACCCGGAGCTGCGATAGGAACAATAGATGAGAAACTACGACAGAATTCCGTCGTAACAGTCTCTCATCATGAAGTTACACCATTACCCCCCGTAGGCAGTCAAGCCTCTTTCCAACCTTTCCGCAATGAAGTCTCCCTCGTTGCCCAACTATACATCTCCGCTCAGTCACCCTACGAATTAAACTTAACGTCGAGAGAACGCCTAGCGGTTCTTGAGGCATTAGCCCACACGACTCATCCTTCAGTTTTCGACCCAGCGGTTAATTCCGTCTTAGAATCCTTGAGATACCAATCTCACCCGAATTTTGTTCAACATTCACTATCGAACGCCGGAAGGGCCCGTATCCGAGCGATCCGCCTGCTTGCTGGCTTAGTGCTACTTTCATCTATAGTGTTCGGCCTCTTATTGACACTGAGCCGACAAGCACGCTGGTGGAGATTATTCGGTGTTGTTCCGTTTGTACTAGGCCTTTTCGCTATGCTGAATGCCAGCAAGGGGATATGCTTCTGGTTGGTTTATCTCGGTTTTAAAAGAGAGATGCTACCATGGGAACTATTCCCTGCCGATGAAGTTAACAGTTTCTTCTCGGGGATGTCGAAAAGCGACCACGATAGCAGCGAAGCGGAAGAATATGGCATCGAAGAATGGGTTGAGAACTACGAAAACAATACAACACTTCTCAGACGGATGTACGAACGAAGGACAGAAGTCGAAGAGAAGGAAGTTAAACGTGTACAAAGAGTTATTTCTAAACAAAGTTTTGTCGTAGCATCCGTGGTTGGGCTGGCGTATATTGGAATTTTCATTGGGTTACCCCGGGGGAATCTTTTTTGACTATCATAGTTAAGTTTGCTGTTTCTTGTTCTCATGGATTCGCCCCCGTTTTCTGCTCTTTTGAAGAATCTTCCTTCCTTCTATTCACTGCACATAGTTTCCACTTGAAATTTTGTTTTAATTGCGGGGTACGCACGATAAAAAGCATATAATGGCTTTCTTGTACGCAGGAAAGAAACAAGAAAGGTCTAATGATTTCTGAAAGGAGTTGTTTTGTTTTATTTCATTTTATTTTTGCCCTATGGCATTGCTATTTTACTACACTTTCTTCTTGATGTATCTAGTCATTTGTCACGAAGGGCATTTTGGGATGTACTGTATATGAGTTCAGGCGTTGCATTGCGCTGGCGGAGGTCTACAAATATGATACCTAAGGTTTCTAAAGAATTCTATAGATCTAGCTAGAGAACATTTGCAAGTCAAGATGCATCCCCTCCCTTATTTTGCGTTTGTGAAATGTAGTAGGCCTTAAACTTGTGTGACGGGAGATCCTGTCCAAATTCATGGGCATGTTCATCACTTGCAGTATTCATCAGAATTACCATAACTGGCATTGTGCTACCAGTGATCTCACATTATTTCGCGATATTGATTTCCCTGAGTAACGCTATTGTCACGTTGACTTCCACGACAACTAGGTAGACATTCCTTTGCCACACCTTCGATGTATAACAACGGGAGAAGTATTCTAGAAAGAGTACCGCTCCACACACCTGGTCCCTCTTTTCTCTCGTAAAAGCATCTGCAACATTGCAATATTTTGAGCACACGGCCCATTCAGGCTGACGAGAGATGTTTCTGGTACTTCTCCACATTTCTTCCCCAGCCATCAAATCCAACTAGCTGGAGTATTAAACCAAAATTCTGTTTCCGCCAATCCACCTTGGCTGGTTAGAGATACCCTACTTAACCGTTACCACGTGTGCGAAAAAATCCAGAAACAAAGAAAGAAGAGGCGAAGGGAGAAAAACCCCTCAGCAGCCAAGCCTGGGGTATGGTGCCAAAATGAAAAACCCATCATATTGGTTGCGTGAGCCATGGTGCATGGAAACTCTGCAAGGCATAGGCTCGAGCTCGAGCTCATGTGCTTTTTGTTTTTTTTTCTTGGGCGTTGAGACATTCGTATTTATTTTTCTAACGTCTCCACACTCCCGGCTGCTAAATTTGCGGATAAATTATAAAATTCCCACCATGGCGTTTCTTACTGGGTTAGCTAATAGCCTATATTACATCGCGTGATAAGAGAAACTTTACTCGGCGACGTGGAGTTTCTTCACTCCGAAAGTGTATCACTGATAAATAATCCAGGAGCTCATGAAATATATGTTTTACTCCTGCAGTAGTTGATTGATCGACCCAGGGAATCTTTTGTTAAATTATCGATTTCCATGCAAGATTCAGATTCCACAATCCTCAACTGTGTTGATCACGGCTTTCCGGGTAACTGGATGCTGTTTTAAATCCCTTATGGTTAATCAGAGCCTGTCAAAATAGGATAGTACCGATGTTATCATGATATTAGGATTTAGATTGCCTATTGCCCAGGTCTTCCCAGCAATGCCTATATATATACACTCAAGTCTATAGTTTGATTGGAATACCCCATGCCCACGTGACGGCCGTTAACTGCTGACAGGTGATGAGAAGGGGTATCCTCGCAAACATACGCGATTAATGGTAGACGGTGCATCGTTCAATATATTTCAAAATTCCTTGATTGGGCCGTTTTGAAAAAAAATTCTTTATGCAGATATCTAAGGGACTAGGGCTGTCTGCATGACAGGTATCACTGAGCGGTTGTAGCTTATTATGGGTATCAGTGTGTCTTCCCTCGTAGCGCATAATTGCTGGATCCATGGATGTATAAAATCGAGACTTATTGCGTGCACATTCATCCAACTTGTAAGGGCAAGGATACCTTAACTGTATCAGCGATATATTACGAAGCAGCCATAGCTCTTGTATATTGATAGATGTCGAAATGGGTTTGTGGTATCGGCTAGGATGCATGTGGGATCGTATACGTATATGCAGATGCCATGCTGGGTTTGAGGCTAGCTACCATATACCGCTGTCATTATATTACTTCCAAATGATAATGTATCTCAGCATACCTATAGAAGGACAGTTATTGCCGAGGTAGATACATGTGAGTTCGAAAGACATCCTCGCTTGGCCACATTGCGATTTTGTAGGATTCACATTTTCCGTGTTTGATTATAAAAATTATTCAAATGCTATATGCGGCTATACGACTTTGTCATGACTTTTAGATGACAGGGATTGACCGCAGCTGGTGGATATGTAGTTCACCGAATCCTCAGAGGAGGCATTCAAATTATCCTGCAGTGCTGGCAAAGAGCTATTGATATCATGCCACTACTGTGCTTGCTCGTTTAAGTATACTAGGGCCGCTATATTCCTCAGGGTAGTATGCGGCGCACCAGACTCTTAAGATTGAGTCTCAGGACCCATACCTATGGGAATATTGATCTTTTGGCAATATATAGCACACTAGAATAAATTGTTTTTGCTATCAAGCCGCAAAAATCCACAATTTTTCAGCCGAAAGACATTCGCAAGCTATTTGGCCTGTGCTGCGAGGATTGAGATAAACCCCGGCAGAATAGCCTATTGACATCGTAGTCGACGAAATGGATTCCAAGCGAATCGCCTACTGTATTTGTGCTGCATCACAAAGGAAAAAAAAAAAAAAAAAAAAAAAAGTAATATGGGTATTTTGCCTACAACAGGAATAAAGCTGAACACTAGAGGGTTGATTACGTATGGATGATATATCCCAGGTATGCCGCTTCGTGCAGTCAAGCATTGTTTGCATTAGTGATGCGTGACGAGACCTCTCCATTCTTGAGCTTCAGGTACAGCACGGCTTTCGGCATCATCTCTTTCGCTACTTTCGCAAGTGTACACAGGGTTCAACTCTCCCCCCTTACCTAGCCAGATCACTTTCTCATGCAACAACGGATAGGGGCAGTATCTGCGATTCCTTCGATGGATAAAGACATCCAGAGCATCTAAAATTAGATACGCCTCAGAATATATTGGCCTTCTGACTAACTACGAGGGTGCAGAAGAGAATCGTTCAACAGTTAATATAAACACCTTATCAAATTAAAACCGCTGGATAGATATTTGACTCGCGTGTATTACTATGTTGACATTTTTGGCTTGCTGGACAAATAGGAATAGAATGAAGAAATTGAGAACGGAACCCTGCGTTTGGTGATATGCACATGTCAACGAGCGGGGTTTGACAAGTGGTGAGGTCGCGGTAGGAGGCCTTTGACTAGTATTCTGTTATTAGGACATAGGTAACAAAAACCATGTCGGTAGAAAATGGCGGGGTTACGACGGCCATATGGGAAGCGTGATACAACGGCAATAAAGGCTCGGTTCGTTAGCAAAATGAGCCCCAAGGGAATTGTATCGACGTATCCGTCAGCAAATGTTTTATCTGTGGCGCTATATATTGGTTGATATCAAAAGCGACGAGAGGTTTGATTGCGAGGTACGAAGCAATATACCAGTCTTGTAACCAGCAATACACCTATTTCTTGTGAGACTGAAAGCAACGCAAGAAATGAGAGTGGATTGTGAAATGCAACAGGAAGCACAATTCTTGGCGTCCGACACGCCGGGGAGATTTGGGCCTCGACGGTCACTTTGTAGAGGGTTTGAGACATCTGATCAATTTATCAAGGACGTGAGTTCGCACGCTAGAAAATAAAGTAAAAATCGATACCAAGGACCAATAGTTCGATATTGTGAGCAGCACACTGCCTTTTCTTTCTAGTAGCGGATCGAGGTATTATATAAATAAGGATTCTAGGCTGTTCGCACAAGCATCTACACAACACTAAACTATCGCGAACCTTCTCGACTAGCTAGCTTCAAAAAGGAATCTCGCAATCGAAAAAAAAAAACTTCATAACCTTAGCAGAACTCAGCAAAAAGATGAATTCCGACACCGGGAATCGAACCCGGGGCTGTTCGGTTCCAATCGGTTCTGATGAATCAGATCCTAATGAGAGCGAACGATGTTAACCACTACACCATATCGGAGGTCGGTTTTCATGATTTGATATCAGACCTCTCACAATTTGGATACTTATACCGTCTAAGCTCTAAGTGTCACGAAATAGACACCACTTTCACCAAGCTTTCATATCATACCATTGGTGAGAACCCCGCCACTAAAGCATCGACCTTGAGTCAGAAGCCAAGATACCAAAGCATCGGTAAGGATTTGGTATCCGAGGCTAGACCACGGCTGTAAGAGTAGTCTGATATTGATTCTCTTCTAACGTTCAAATATATGTTTTTTGGTATTCGCAGCCGATACGACTGGTGGACGTTTTCTTGAAGCCTTAAACCTTCACGGCTCGAACATACCCCTCCAAAGTTTCCCACAACGCAACGGGGCCGGCACTGTCTCACTCCAGTTGGTTACGTATCTTTTAAATCTGCGCAAGGGCTTATATGGACCTTCTGCAGGAATTCGATCAATCAATTGGTAACGGCATTAACATGCCGTGAGGTGGTTTTACGTATGCCATTCGCAAGGATTACCGCATACGCATGATCTGGTTGTGTGCGGTTAGGGTTCTAATAAACGCCTCCGATGATGGATGTGGCAGTTTGGGAAGTCTGGGAAGTGCAAGGCGGGTTGGCCCATCGGATGGGGTAATTTTGCCCTCTTGGTTAGAAGTCGGATGTGGGCGGGCCCTTGGCATCTACGTTGCAAACGCTTCGACGGGCGAGTTTTGTGTTACACTTCCCTTTGTCAACACCAAGCGTGGCCTGAGCTGCATTTGCTATTACGGTAACGTAGAGACATCGGAAAAAAGAAATGCGATGGAGGTATAATATCTTTTAGATGTTAAATTATTTTTTTTGTGATATATAAAGCTGTATTTCCTGTCGTTTCTTCCCGATCTCTTTTTCTCTGTATCACAGCAGACTAGCACACTCGTTGAACTGTCGTTCCTTCTCTCTCTCTCTCTTCTCCTCGGACTACACGCTCTTTTTGATATCATATCATTTCCACTCTTTTTTTTATCTTGTAAAAGAAACCAACCTATCCTTCAAAATGCAAATCGTCTCCGTTGTCGCTGCTCTTGCCGCCGTTGGGTATGTAGAAACAAAAAACCAACAACGGAATCTCTAGTATAAGATCATAACCAAAGACTAACATGACTATAACAGTGGTGCTCTCGCTGCCCCAGCCCCAGCCCCAACTGCCCCAGCTGTTCTGGAAGACAGCATCATGGCCCGCTCGGCCTCAGCCTCGTTCTGCAAGACCGATTACGTCTCGGACACCAACCTCGGAATCTTGGGCTTCGCCGTCGACCGCAAAGTTGTCACCAACTATGCTTCCACTGCAACCGTTACTCATACTGTTGATCTTGACTGCAAGGGCTGCGCGTTGAACATCAAGTGGCAGCTCAGAGAATGGGCCTGGGGCGGTAAGGGAAAGGTATGTCGTTCCTCGCGTTGTTTTATAATTTAATATCGAAAGCAAAGTGATGGAAAGAAACTAATCTTTTGGTGTTTCAAATTAGCTCATGGAGCCAGTCAAGCCCACCAAGACCGTCGAGGCTACGGTCACAACACAGACCGTGTACGTCTGCAAGACCAACCCAGGCCCAGTTCTACCCCCCGGCGGCCGCCACGGAAAGGGTCCAAAGGGCCCAAAGGATGGTGAGAAGCCAAAGGGTCCAAGGCCGGAAGGCCACAAGGGAGGTGAGAAGCCAAAGAAGGACGAGAAGAAGGAGGAGGAGAAGAAGGAGGAGAAGACCGAGGAGAAGAAGGCGGAGTAAAGGAACACTCCAAACAATAGCCACTATAAACGGCCCCCCAAAGCTTCAAATAAGCTACTTGACAAATAACTAGTCTACCAAGACTACCTCACGAGGACCATGACCAATGTTTTACACAAACATACGAAATAGCACTTTATGACCGTCCACGAAACTTATGATATGGGAAACGGAGTTTTATTCAGATTATTACTGAATGGCGTTTTATTATGATTTCCCTCCACCCCCCCTTTTTTTTGCCTTCATGTATATCTACATTTTCGATCAAAATGAATCAAAACAAATGCACGGAGTATATGAATATAGAGGTTACCAAAATTCCAACAGCTAAATATCGTGAATCTGCGTTGTGGTGGGAAGTCGAATCTGAAAGCGTAGAGCGGACCCGAGCTCGCGAATCCGAAGGGAAAGCATAGCAAATTGGGTCAACCCGAACCAACTTGCGGCAACTCAAGCCTTAGACTGAAATTTACCGCATATTCAATGAGGTACGCGTAAAGACTACTTCAGTCCCGATTAATCTCTACAATATTAATACCGGAGCATCGAGCCACTCTATCTCTGTATATGGTCGGTGTTGTACCCACTAAAGCTGGGTCTCTATAGCTGCAGATCTCTATGTGGAGCCTCGGGTTGTATGTAAACATTCTTGTTGAACCGAGCACCGGATTTCTAGCTTCAAGACCGGCTTGTTCTATGGATTTAATTTTATTTTCACGGAGCATTGGAGGCTTTATAATAGCTAGGATGAATCTATATAACGTGCTTTCCACAGGTTTACGAAGCGGGGTTCATAATCTACGTAAGAGCCTAGTATAGTGTTGAGTTACGAGACCACGAAGATAGAATCCATAAACTTCATATTTCATAGAGACCGCTTGAGCACTACAAAGAAAAAGAGCCTAACAGCGTCCAAAAACCAAGAAAAAATTACACACCCAAAGCAAGGGAGAAACCTCACGCTGCTAAAAACAAAACCGCAATCACGACAGCCCCATCTACATCCCCTGATTCAACTCAGTCTCCAACCCAGGCTGCCTCCCCTTCATTCCAAATTTACCCTTAATCTTCTGCGCCCCAACCATCAACTCATCCTTCAAAAACACCATATTCCTAGCGGGTTTCCACTGCATAATCCCCCTGTGCTTCCTGAATTTTTGTCTCTTTTCCGCCAGCTTCCTCTCTTTCCTTGCTCTCTTAGCATCTGGATCGGCTCCCTTTTCATCCTCGCTTTTGCTTCCGGTATCGTTGTTATCGTTACTGTTACCTTCGGCCTCATCGTCGCTGGAGAGGTCGTGTCGCTCGTCTACATCTTCTGGATCATCGCCTGCGATTCTTCTGACGTTTTCATCGGACACGAAGTCGTCTTGGTCGTCTACAACGCTCATGACTTCTGCTTTCCAGTCTTCTTCATTTAGGACGAGGTTGTCACCACTGCTCGGGCGTTCGGTTTGGGAGGGTTCGTGACCGCGCAGTTTTGGTCGCGGTGGGAGTAGGTTGTTATCATCTTCACCGTTCTCATGTTCATCTTCGTCCTCGCTTGGTAGATCTTCTGTTGCGCCTGTTGCGATGAGTTTTTTGATCGTGGCGCCGGTTTCACGTTTGACTATTCTCTTTCTTGAACCTTCTGCTAAACAAGCTTCGAAAGCATCGAATGTCTCGCGATCATCGTTGCTGTCCATGTAGCTCCTGTGTGACTCATCAAGACCGTCTTTGAATCTTAGAGTTATGTTAAATGTGGCAATCTGCTCTGCATTGATGTTATCACGGGAGTTGACGTCTTTGATGTTATTCTGGGTTAATGCGTTAGTATCCCTTGTCTTCCAGACGGGCAATGATAACTTTGTAGTCTGGTTATCGATAAGTTCGTTGAGCCAGTATATACAATACGCAACCGGCTTGCGAGACATTCTAGAGTAAAATTCGAGTTTTAGAGAAGAACCGTAGCGTTGGCGGACAGGAATGCGGATTGTGAGGCCGTTTAGGTTCCAAGTCGGGGTGCCGTCGTCGTTGTAGGCTAGCCTTCGTGGAACCTTTTGTTGGTTGCAGTCGGTGCTGAGGACGATACGGGAGTTTAGAAGTTCTTGCGCACCAGGGCCGGTGGCGGTCATTAGGTCTTCCATGAGTTCGATGGAACCGACGTCCCAGCCCAGGAGGTTACGGGGCACTTGGAGGTTGACGGAGCGAAAGAGGATGGTAAGTGAGATCATACCATAGCCAATCCCCCCGTCTAGAGCGTAGAGGCGGGTTACCGTGCTGCTTGTTTGCAGGGCTTCGGAGAGTTTGATGGAACAGACGCCTAGGAGGGGGTCGTGTTCTCTATGACGTGAGTCTCTTGCGGATACAGTTACCACAGTATTCCTCCAGTCTCTCACGTACCGTTCGACAGCGGCGGAAAACATGGGGTTTGATGAGGAGACTTTAGTACGGGTTTTGAAAGCGAGGACATCGTTAACCATGACAGTACAATATGCGTTGGGCAAGTGGCTGCCTTCTTCGTCTTTGTTTTCTCCAACTACTTGAGCTGGGCTGTATGGTCTGATCTTGCCGAATGTCCCTTTGCTTCGTTCGAACTCGAGGTGTTTGATCTCATGGATGGTGACTGATACTACGCCCGTCGGGTAATTTGGGTCCGGTGGGACGCTGAGGGCGAGCTTGTCGTCTTCGGCGAGGGGGACGGGGACCTGTTCGTTGAATTCTTGCTTGTGACGGAGTTCGCGGGGTACTCTGACGTCTTCACCAGTAGTTTTCATTGATTTCTTGAAATCAGTACGACGGAAGAATCCGACCTCCCAGTTTAGTTTCCCGGGAACTGGTTTGCCGTCCTTTTCTCCGATTAATGTGTCGCTACGGGTATGCATCACCCCTTCGCTCTCAATGATGTCATGCAAATCGAATTCAATTCTGCCAACCATATCATCCTTTCCGATTCGATCGCTATCCCAGAGCTGGACCGAAAGTTTCTCGCCAGAGGTTATTTGTTGGGTGTGAAGGAGAATACAAGTATCTTCTTCCCATGATGGGTTGCGATCTTTGAGGATGACGCGGGTACAATATACTGGTTTTCCGAATTGGCTGAAGGCGAGAGTAACATATGTATCTGATCCACCTCCGCTGTCCATGGCTGGAATTCCCGTCGCATCATGGATCTTGATGTAGATGACACCGATGGCCTCTGTCTCTTGCTGAACGCTAGCGCCTTCGATCATTTTACCTACGTCCAAGCTCAGCGACTTGGGTGCG